GGGGGGGGGGTAGGGCATATTGCGGAACCTGGCCTTGGGGCGGCAGGGAGAGTAAATCCGGCCCTGCAGCCAGTGACAAGATATTCCTCTTGGGGACGAAACTGGCTACAGTTTTATATCTTACAACTTAAGGACATTTCCACCTTTGTAAGTGATTGAGTTTTTGGTGGCAATGGGGAGGTGCAGGGGGGATGTACATGTGTGTGCCCTCTCAGGAATTACAGAGCTGCATTTCATACTTTATTGATTTTACAGGCCCCTAAACCACAATCTAAACTGCTAAACTGCAATCGGCTGTTTTCCCCATCCTCCCGCTCCCCTCTGTAGAGAGACAGCAGGATGAGTCATAGTTCTGCGTGTCTGTGAGTGTTAGGACACACAGAGAAGTCTATATAAGAAGACAAGTGAAAGGAGATTGCGTCTCTCAGATCTCCCCCTTATCCTGGGTAACATCTACTCTGCTGCCCCAAGTCCAGGTTCCCCAATGTCCCCACCATTCTTCTCATTTACACACATGACTGCTAGAACAGATAAAAAAAAAAGACATTGGGGGAAATTGATCATAATTGGAGCAAACAGAATCTGGAGCAGTTGCCCATGTCAACCAATAAGCTTCTCTCTTCAGTTCGTTCCGTTAAGATTTGAAAATGAGAGAGAAGCTGATTGGCTGCCATGCACAGCTGCTCCAGTTTCGATAGATCTCCCACTGTGCAGTGTCACTGGGGATGTGCGGGGTCACTGGAAATTGTTTGGCGTCACCGCACATGTGCTCTCCGCACATCCCCGGTGACCCATTTTTATCTGTTCTAGCAGTCATGTGTGTGAATGAGAATGGTGGGGACATTGGGGAACATGGACTTGGGGCAGCACAGAGTAAATGTGACCCAGGATAAGGGGGAGATCTGAGAGAGACACAGAATCTCCTTTCACTTGTTCTGTTCTATAGACTTCTCTCTGTGTCCTAACACTCACACAGACACTATGACTCATCTGGGTGTCTCCTCATAGCAGAGAGGGGAGGGGGAAAACAGCTGATTGATGTTTAGAGATAAGAAACCCAACCCTGTGAGAGAGGGATTGAAGATATTGTGGAGAGAATTTTGAACTTCTAGGCCTCTGGCCTGTAAAAGAATCTATCAAATAAAAGTATGAAATACAGCTCTTTGACTCCTAAGAATGCACACACACATGTATATTC